TCAAGATGTTAACAAGAGAAGGGGGGGGGGGTCTCCAGAATTAAAGCATCAAACATTAAAGGCTGTCTCCTTTTCAATCACTTCTGATCGGTCTGCCTGCAAGCTGTGTCTTTGTAATGTCTCTTGATCAAATTAATGCATTGACATAACACAGATGAACAAATCCCAGATGGTAAGATGCAGTACCATGACAGCATCATCCACTAACACAAATTTAGAGAAATGATCTACTCCATTCCCAGCCCTCAAAAGCACACATTATCATCAACATTATTTCTCTTGTCGTCCTGTAGCACTGCTTGGAGAATGGCGGAGTATCTCTATTGGATGATGGACTGCCTGACTTCTACACCAAGAGAGTTTTACCAGACAGGTGCTTCCGTACTGAACTTGTCTGTGTAGTAATGAACTCTAACAATGAGGGTGTCACATTTGCTCACTTTTTAAAGGTTGAAGGCATATGGGCATGCTAAAAATGTGGACGTTGTCTTATCTCTGACACCCTGACTTTCTGTCCTGCAGTCAGCTGTCATCCCACCATCACGCTCAGGCTCTCAGGAGGAAGAAAAGACGCAGTGTGCTGTCAATTTTTTCTGGATTCAGGAAGAACCGAAACTCTACCATATCATATCAGGAGTCAGACCCTGCAGGAAGGGGCGGGGCCTGTGGGGAGGAATGTAGCACTAAGTGAGTCATTCGTATTTTAATATATAACAATTTATAGTACACTACTGTTCAGAAATGTTATTACATTTTAAAATAACGGCTTTTTAGTATTTTAAATTGCAATGTATTCCTGTGATGGCAAAGCTGACTTTACAGCAGAGATTACCGCAGTCTTCAGTGTCACATAGTCCTTCAGAAATTATTTTAATATGCTGATTTCATGCTCAAGAAACATTTCTTATTATTATCAGTGTTGAAAACAGTTGTGCTGCTTAATATTTATGTAAAAACCATGAAACATTTTTTCAGGATTCTTTAATGAATAGAGAGTTCAAAAGAATAGAATTTATTTGAATTAGAAATCTTTTGAAATATTATAAATGTGTTTACTGTCACTTTTGATCAATTTAATGAGTCTTTGCTGAATAAAAGTATTAATTTCTTAAAAGAAAAATCTTACTGACACCAAACTTTTGTGTATATATAATAAATAATTATATAAATTGTATTACATCAATGAATCAGACAACATAAATCAAACTCTTAATCTTATTTTCCTTTTATCAGATGCTCTCTCAGTATTGCCACTGAGAATGTGTACTCCTTGATTCAACACCCAAAGGATCGTGGGAGGTTAGACCTAGGCACTGAGGGCACCAATGGGAGACTGGTAGGGCCGGGTGTTCAGAGGACCCCTCAGCTCTCAAGAAGGCCCGTTCAGGGTATACCCCTGCCGGGAATTATGGGAATTAGCCCCTCTTGCTTCTCACAGAGACAGGTAAAGTTCACCACATTACATAATTTAAAATCCAGTTCGGTTCTTGAAATTCATTTGAATTTGAATTGAGATTGCAAACAGGATCCTGAATTATAATTCATATTTGAATTTGAATTAAATTAAATTCAAATAAATTCTTATTATTCCTTTGGCCATTTTCTGAAATATTAGTTTATATTAATAATCAATACTTGAAATGCCACCTGTAGAAATGCATATGTAATTTATACACAGCATATGTTATTATATTTAATAAATAATATTTATTATTTTAAAAATTAAAAATTTAGTTTTATTTGATTTCATGGACTTTGTTCAGTTAAGTTAATTATTTTAATTAACTTTAATTATTAATTTTAATTATTTTAATTTTAATTATTTTAATATCTAAAATCAATGTGGGAATTTTTTTGTGCTATATGAAAAAATTTAAATCTTTTCATGTCTGTGGTTGTTTTGACAATATTGAATTGTTAAAAAAAAGGAAAAGTCTAATTTAAGGGGGGAGGGGTGTACCAGGTTAAAGGCATGAGTAGTAAAATGATGTATTATTTCTGACTAGTCAGAAAACTTTTGTGTGACTGTTGAATTTCTTTCAATTACAATCCAGTAAATTCCTCTGCTTGTCGTTCGAATTCCAATTCGACATTCCGTGTTCAGATTCCACGTTAGTTCAGGTTCTAGATCACAAGTTAAAGCAAAGCCAAAGCAAATTGAATTGAGGCCAACGCTGGTACACAGACTATGTGATATTTATTTATTCGTTCACAAAATGGTGCAGGTAGTGTTGAGAACAAACATGGGAAGGAATTGTTTTCAATAGTAATTAACATGTTAGCATCACCTGTTTTTGATCGATTTGAAAACATATTAAATATGAATTTAATGAGCATAATGACACGTTTACCACAGTCTCTCACCCTCTGTCTCTCTGTTCCCTGCAGTCGCCTGACTACAGTGAGGTGTTCGGCTCATCAGAAGAGATTGGATACGGAGAGCATGAGATGGACCGGCATTCAGATATCGTTGCTAAAAGGCACACACCATCTATAGACAGAGAGTCAGAATCAGGAAGACAGGAATCACAGTCAGACAGCCAGAAAAAGGCAGACAGTATAATGAACCCTCAGCTGCTGGAAACCAGAAAAAGACCCGAACCGCCACCTCAGAGTACCAAGCCGAGCTTGGCTAAGACACGGCAGCGCCATCTGGAGGAGAGCTCTGGTACTGCATAACTTGTCATTAGTTGCCATTGGGCATTCATTTTAGTGAATCGTTCGTATCTGTTAGCTAGTTTTAATACGCATTTTACACTATATAATTTTCTAAATAAACAACAGTCATGGTCATATGCTGTCCCCAGATAAATCTACTGAAGATTCTGGAGAACTGAGGGAGAAGGATGAGGAAAAAGAAGACAGGAGATGTGGAGAAGACCAAAAACCAGAAGGACAGACTCCACCCATCCCTGAAAAGGTGTTTGGGTCATAGTATCTTTGTGTCTGTGACTTAAAATGTCAATGTGTGTGAGTGGGAGTGTGTCTTTATTCTTGTAGAAACATGTATCATTAAAACAGCTTTTGATTATATAATTCTTTTCAGCCATGCTATTATTCACCTCACACGTCTCCCATTGGCTACTCACCACAAGACGTGGCCAATGAGAATCAGCCACCAGCTGCTCCGCCCACCTCTGCTAAGCCTGTGTTTCATTCTGCTTCAGTAGATTCAGCATTGCTTCAAGGTAATTCAGAAAACAATTATGTTATAATGCGATACTGGCAGTTGCGTTTAATGTTTCATAAACTTTCTGAAGATTTTCTAAAGCAGTTTAATAATCATATATACTTTGTATATATATATATATATATATATATATG